ATAGACCTGTTAGTTTAACTTCTATAGTTGTTAAGATACTGGAGAGTTTATTAAAAGACCACATAGATGAGTTCTTGCTGGAAAAAAATATTTTAAGCAACAGACCACATGAAAGACAGAAATTGTCAAACAAATCTGATTTCTTTTTATGAAGAGGTGAGGAAAACCTTGGACAGAGGGGTGGTGGACGTGGTAAACTTGGATTTTGCAAAAGTGTTTGACGCAGTTCCCCATACACTAATGTGTAAGGTGAAGTCTACAGGCTTGGAAAAATCTGTATGTAAATGGATAAAAAAACTGGCTAAAGATCGTATTCAAAGAGTAGTGGTTAATGATTCATACTCTGGTCTAGGGTTGTCAGTGGTGTACCCCAAGGTTCAGTGTTGGGGACCCTTACTTTTTAATATATTTATAAAGGATATATGGTCTGGGATTATAAATCCCATTTCAGTCTTTGAAGATGACACCAAGCTTTGCAGTGGAATAACGTCCTTACAGGATATCTTTAACTTACAAGCCGACCTCAATGAAATGTTTAATTGGGCAACTACAGTCAGGTCCATAAATATTGGGACATCAACACAATTCTAACATTTTTGGCTCTATACACCACCACAATGGATTTGAAATGAAACAAACAAGATGTGCTTTAACTGCAGAATGTCAGCTTGAATTTGAGGGTATTTACATCCAAATCAGGTGAACGGTTGTAGGAATTACAACAGTCGGCATATGTGCCTCCCACTTGTTGAGGGACCAAAAGTAATGGGACAATTGGCTTCTCAGCTATTCCATGGCCAGGTGTGTGTTATTCCCTCATTATCCCAATTACAATGAGCAGATAAAAGGTCCAGAGTTCATTTCAAGTGTGCTATTTGCATTTGGAATCTGTTGCTGTCAACTCTCAAGATGAGATCCAAAGAGCTGTCACTATCAGTGAAGCAAGCCATCATTAGGCTGAGAAAACAAAAACAAACCCATCAGAGAGATAGCAAAAACATTAGGCGTGGCCAAAACAACTGTTTGCAACATTCTTAAAAAGAAGGAACGCACCAGTGAGCTCAGCAACACCAAAAGACCCGGAAGACCACGGAAAACAACTGTGGTGGATGACCGAAGAATTCTTTCCCTGGTGAAGAAAACACCCTTCACAACAGTTAGCCAAATCAAGAACACTCAGTCAGGTGAATGGTGTAGGAATTACAACAGTTTGCATATGTGTCTCCCACTTGTTAAGGGACCAAAAGTAATGGGACAGAATAATAATCATAAATCAAACTTTCACTTTTTAATACTTGGTTGCAAATCCTTTGCAGTCAATTACAGCCTGAAGTCTGGAACGCATAGACATCACCAGACGCTGGGTTTCATCCCTGGTGATGCTCTGCCAGGCCTCTACTGCAACTGTCGTCAGTTCCTGCTTGTTCTTGGGGCATTTCCCCTTCAGTTTTGTCTTCAGCAAGTGAAATGCATGCTCAATCGGATTCAGGTCAGGTGATTGACTTGGCCATTGCATAACATTCCACTTCTTTTCCTTAAACTCTTTGGTTGCTTTTGCAGTATGCTTTGGGTCATTGTCAATCTGCACTGTGAAGCGGCGTCCAATGAGTTCTGAAGCATTTGGCTGAATATGAGCAGATAATATTGCCCGGAAAACTTCAGAATTCATCCTGCTGCTTTTGTCAGCAGTCACATCATCAATAAATACAAGAGAACCAGTTCCATTGGCAGCCATACATGCCCACGTCATGACACTACCACCACCATGCTTCACTGATGAGGTGGTATGCTTAGGATCATGAGCAGTTCCTTTCCTTCTCCATACTCTTCTCTTCCCATCACTCTGGTACAAGTTGATCTTGGTATCATCTGTCCATAGGATGTTGTTCCAGAACTGTGAAGGCTTTTTAGATGTCGTTTGGCAAACTCTAATCTGGCCTTCCTGTTTTTGAGGAGGCTCACCAATGGTTTACATCTTGTGGTGAACCCTCTGTATTCACTCTGGTGAAGTCGTCTTTTTGTTGTTGACTTTGACACACATACACCTACCTCCTGGAGAGTGTTCTTGATCTGGCTATCAAGGTCCTACCTTTCCTCAGGGCCTGTGCTGCTCCATGTGCTGGCATCCATCTTAGGTCTGCAAAGCATTGTGGGATCCTTTATGCTTTCAGCCCTCTGCGGCTTCTCCCAGGAGGTGGTGGCTTATCACATTTAAGTCTGCTGTTTGCAGCTGTCCATTGCATTTGTGTCCTGTCTGTTGCACAGCAGCAAGCTCCTGTTTAGTTAACTCTGCTCTCCTGGATACCGACTCTGCTTTGGCTAAGACTCCTCCTGGCTTCTGACCCCGGCTCTGGCGACCATTCTTCCTGGCTTTTGACCCCGGATCTGGAGACCATTCTTCCTGGCTTCTGACCCTGGCTTTGGCTACGATTCCCGCTGGTTCTCGACTTGATTATCCTGGAAGACGACCTCGGCACGAGAACTTCTGTCCTACCAAGTCATCCGCTGTTGCTGTCGGACTTGCATAGACTCTTGCCTTGTTTCTGTGTAAATAAACCTACCTTTAATTGCACCTGCTTGTGTGTCTGGCTCCTCGCTCCCTGACACTGGCCAACTGTTGTGAAGGGTGTTTTTTTCACCAGGGAAAGAATTCTTCGGTCATCCACCACAGTTGTTTTCCGTGGTCTTCCGGGTCTTTTGGTGTTGCTGAGCTCACCGGTGCGTTCCTTCTTTTTAAGAATGTTCCAAACAGTTGTTTTGGCCATGCCTAATGTTTTTGCTATCTCTCTGATGGGTTTGTTTTGTTTCTTCAGCCTAATGATGGCTTGCTTCACTGATAGTGACAGCTCTTTGGATCTCATCTTGAGAGTTGACAGCAACAGATTCCAAATGCATATAGCACACTTGAAATGAACTCTGGACCTTTTATCTGCTCATTGTAATTGGGATAATGAGGGAATAACACACCTGGCCATGGAACAGCTGAGAAGCCAATTGTCCCATTACTTTTGGTCCCTTAACAAGTGGGAGGCACATATGCAAACTGTTGTAATTCCTACACCGTGCACCTGATTTGGATGTAAATACCCTCAAATTAAAGCTGACAGTCTGCAGTTAAAGCACATCATGTTCGTTTCATTTCAAATCCATTGTGGTGGTGTATAGAGCCAAAAATGTTAGAATTGTGTTGATGTCCCATTATTTATGGACCTGACTGTATGTGGAGGTTTAATGTTGATAAATGTAAGGTTAAGCACTTGGGGCCTAAGAATATGCATGCATCATACATACTAGGGGGGTACAACTGGGGGAGTCAATGGTGGGAAAGAATCTGGGAGTTCTGTTAGATCACAAGCTTAATAATGGCATGCAATGCCAAGCTGTGGTTTCTAAAGCGAGCAAAGTCCTCTTGTATTAAGAGGTATAGACTCCAGAGAGATATCATTTTACCCCTGTACAAATCAGCAAGACCTCATCTGGAATATGCAATTCAAATTTGGGCACCAAATCACAAAAAACATTGGGGAACTGGAGAAAGTACAGAGAAGGGAAACCAAACTGATAGAGGCATGGAGGAGCTCAGCTATGAGGAAAGATTACTGAATTTATCCTCTGTTGAAAAGAGGATTTTAAGGGGGATATAATCAACATGTATAAATACATCAGTGGTGCATATAGTGAACTCGGTGTAGAGTTATTCACCCTGAGGTTATCAGAGGACAAGGTTGGCTCTTTACATTTCTTTTCCTCCAGACGTAATCTCCAAACACGGAAAGGTTTCTTCACAGTAAGAGCTGTGAAAATGTGGAATAGACTCCCTCAAGAGTTGGTTCTGGCCAGCTCAGTGGATTACTTTAAAAAAGGCCTGGATTCATTTTTGGATATGCAGAATATAACTGGATACTAACATTTATAAGTAAAGTTGATCCAGGGAATATCGGATTGCCTCTCGGGGGATCAGGAAGGAATTTCTTTTCCCCTGCAGGAGCAAATTGGATCATGCTTTGCTGGGTTTTTTTGCCTTCCTCTGGATCAACTGTGTGTGTGGGATTATAACTTTTTTTTTTTTTTTCCAAGGGTTGAACTGGATGGACTTTTGTCTTTTTTTTTCAGCCTGAGTATCTATGTAAGCAGGCCTTGTACTAAAATTATTGCCTTCACTCCGACGTTCACGGCTATACTTCATGTGTGGCGCGATCACCATTTTACATATGCACACTGGGCGACGGGAGCTTTATTTTTATTTAAATGTATTCTTTGACTGTCTCTATTTTTTCTTTAATTTAAATTTATTACTGATATCCGTTTGATTGGCCTCTTTACTACCTGCAATGGCTGGTAAGCAAACGACCGAAAATGGAAATGACAAAATCCTCGTTGCTTCCAGTTTCATACACCATAGAGACGATTTAGGAATGGAAATTCCTCCTTTGTTTCTATGGTCAGCTGGTGCAACTACTCCACGGTGGGACTGGAGATCCTGGAAATGGTGCATGCCTGGCAAAGGGGTGGGAGGGATGGGGGTTTCGGATGGCTGTTTAACTGCTCAAATTACTTTTACAAAAAACAGCATCTCGGGCACTAAAAATTAAGCTGCAGTCACGATCCTGTTATCACCACCACTTCCCAAAGACATATTTCACATAACCACAGAAGTGTCTAAAATTCTATATACAACAATAAAAAATGTATTAAATATTTCAACAGTGTCCACAATAAATATGTGCAATAAATAATTAACCACTTGCCTACTAGGCACTTATACCCCCTTATTTACCAGGCCAATTTTCAGCTTTCAGCGCTGCCACACTTTAAAAATTGCGCGGTCATGCAACATTGTACCCATATGAAATTTTGATCATTTTTTTTCTCACAAATAGAGCTTTCTTTTGGTGGTATTTAATTGCCACTGGGCGCTTTACTTTTTGCGCTATAAATAAAAAAAGTGCAAAAAATCTGGAAAAAAAAAAAAAGTTTCTTTGTTTCTATTATAAAATTTTTCAAACAGGTATTTTTTCTCCTTCACTGATGTGCGTTGATGAGGCAGCACTGATGGGCACTGATAGGCGGCACTGATAGGCAGCACTAAAGGGCACTGATAGGCAGCACTAATGAGGTGTCACGGATAGGCGGCACTAATATGCAGCACTGATAGGCGGCACTGATAGGTGACACTGATGATGGGTACGGATAGACGGCACTGACTGGCATCACTGCTGGGCACTGACTGGCGCAACCCCTGGGCACTGCTGGGCAGCACTGCTGGGCAGCACTGCTGGGCAGCACTGGTGGATGGGCACAGGTGGGTGGCACTGGTGGGCACAGGTGTGTGGGCACAGGTGGGTGGCACTGCTGGGCACAGGTAGGTGGCACTGCTGGGCACAGGTAGGTGGCACTGCTGGGCACAGGTGGGCGCAGCTAGTGGGCGCACTGCTGGGCACAGGTGGGCGGAACTTGCGGTGGCACTGCTGGGCACCGATCATCAGGGCACTGATCATCAGTGCCCTGATGATCGGTGCCGATCCCCGCTCTGACAACTGCCGGTTCTCGGCAGTACTTTCCTCACGATCTGACAGCGTGAGGAAAGTGCAGCCGAGAACCGGCACTTGCATTTCCCTCTGATCAGCGTGTCAATGGACACCGCTGATCACGTGGTAAAAGGCCGCTGTGATTGGCCTTTTACCAGATCACGTGATCAGCTGTGTCCGTAGGACACAGCAATCACGGAGATCGCCGGGTGCGCGCCCCCTGGACGTCATATGACGTCCACTCAGAACTGGCCGGCCGCAGTGCAGTCGTCATTCGGCTATTTGCGGTCGGCAACTAGTTAAAAGGGAAATCAGAGTTCAAATAGTGTCTATGACTAATGTGCACTGTACAAAATCTGCTTCCCAGTAAAATAATCTGGTGCCTGTACCTTCAACAATCAATAAAAATGTTCAGCAACTAGTAAAATCCACAAAGATGACATTCCAGTATCCACATTGCACAATGGTGCAAACAACAAAGTGCTCCAAAACACCACCAGATCGTGACACTCCTTAAAGGATAAGTTCACCTTTAGACGAAAAATAAATGCACATTTTTTTTTGCTGATTAAAAAATTACCATTTACTAATTTTTGTTTTGGGAGCCTATAAAGCATTGCACCAGCAATCAGCAGACTGGCGCCATGCAGGACTTCTGCAGAGGGGCAAGTTCACTGACAAACTACTAGTTTTCTCATTCACGGAATACTGTGAATGAGTGACGTGGCCGGGTGGGCAGATCCCCGCACGTCCACATTTTTTAAATTGTGGCAGCTAGTGGAGGAAAAAGATTGCTTGCTAGGTTGTCACAAGGCGAAGGGGGGGAACGAGGGCAGGTCCTTTTTGTGTTACACCCTGAATATGGGTGTAACTTGTTACAAAAAGTGAACTTTTCCTTTAACGAATAGAAAGATCCCACACAGATTAAGCATGCGAGCTCAGACTCCCACATAAATGACTACAAGGCATATCTGGAATGTGGGTCACGAGATAAAAATAAAAGAACAACCTCCATAGTGTAGTATCCAACAGTTAAAAACCACCCCTTTTATTAACCTCTTGCCGCCCTGCCACTGTATATACAGTATACGTGTGCAGGGCGGCAGTGGAGAGCAAAACCACGTTTTAAAACGGGCTACGCGCTCCCGCCACTTTCGCGGGTAGGGGGTGCGCACGCTCCCCGCCGACCCGCGGGTGACACGATTCGATCCAGGAGGGATCAATCATTAGATTTCAGCCAGTGATTTCTGGCTGAAATCAGATGATCGGTCCCTGTCCTATCCTGTCCTGTGTTGACATTTACACAGGGCAGGATATGATGTCATTCTTCTCTTCTGCCTAGACGCATTCCGTTCCAGACAGAGAAGAAGACACAGTAAAAGTGAGTACAAAGCACTACACTGACAGAACACACCTAGGACACATTTAACCCCCTGATCCCCCCCCCCCCCCCCAGTTAACCCCTTCACTGCCCTGTCACCAGTGTCACTGATCAGTGAACCAATTTTTACTGATCACTGTATCAGTGTCGCTGGCGACTTCCGATAGTGGTAGCGCCCCTCCCAGATAGCGCCAGATTGCCCGCCAGTACACCAGTAATCCCGTTTAACCCCTTGATCGCCCCCTCTTCCCCTCAGTTAACCCCTTCACTGCCCTGTCATCAGTGTCACTGATCAGTGAACCGATTTTTACTGATCACTGTATCAGTGTCGCTGGCGACTTCCGATAGTGTTAGCGCCCCTCCCAGATAGCGCCAGATTGCCCGCTAATACACAAATAATCCCGTCTAACCCCTTGATCTCCCCCCCCCCAGTTAACCCCTTCACTGCCCTGTCACCAGTGTCATTGATTACAGTGAACAGATTTTTACTGATCACTGTATTAGTGTCACTGGTGACTTCCGATAGTGTTAGCGCCCCTCCTAGATAGCGCCAGTTTGCCCGCTAATGCACGGGATTTTTTTTACCAAAAACATGTAGCAGAATACATTTTTGTTTAATTTTATGACTAACTTTGCGTTTACTATATATTTTTTATAGCTGAAAGTAGAAAATATTGGTTTTTTTTTCAAAATTTTCGTGGTTTTTTTTGTTTATAGCGCAAAAAATAAAAAGCGCACAGGTGATCAAATACCACCAAAAGAAAGCTCTATTTGTGTGAAAAAAAGGACGTAAATTTCGTTTGGGTACAGCGTCGTTTGGGTACTATTTCAATTATCATTTTGAATTAGTGCAGCGCCAAACAGCAAAAAAAGGCCTGGTCATTAAGGGGGATAAATCCTCTGGAGCTCAAGTGGTTAAAAGTGAACTTGGAGGTAAAAACGAAATACAGCATAAAATCCAATTCGTGGACTTTGGCGGGCGTACTGATGTCACGTGTCTGGTTCCACGCAGTGCGTTTTCCTTACAAAGGGATCGACGGTAAAAGAACACAAAGAAAAATAATCCTTCCCGGGGCTCAGAGGTCCTTCACAGTTGGATAACCAACAGGTCCATAAAAGCCAAAATGCTTGGTGGATGCAGCCCCCCTCAGATGGGGGAATCCATTGCAACTACAAAAAGAAAAAACTGGGTGCAAAGCACGTAGTGCATCACCAATGATTTTATTATGCAGGATAAGCGTACTCCAACATTGCGAAGGGGGTGCACTCCCTTCTTTAGAGCTAAGCTTAGTGTCAGCTTGCCAGCTTGGTGGGGTGTTGCTGAACGTTTTGTGAGTACCCATTTGTTTTTATGGTTTTTTTTTTCTTTTGTTTTTTTTTATAATAGACCATTGATAATGCACTAGGTCAGGGTAGGCAACCTGCAGCTCTCCAGCTGTTGCAGGACTACAAGTTCCATCATGCCAGAAGTCAGAATGGAGATGGCACCAGGATTGGAGAAAAAATGTAATCAAAAGCAAAATAAAAACAAAAATTTCTTTAACCACTAGTGGACCACCCACAGTACATATACTGCTACAGAGCGGCCCCTGTGCACAGGATCACGTATATAAATGTGATCCTGCATTTTGGGGTAGGAGGCGCAGTGATTACCCACCGGAGCCCGATGATTGATTGCCGGGGGGAGGGGGGGGGGCTTCTACTATCCTCGCCCGGACTTCTGCCTTATAAGCCCAATTTTCTGGAAGCTGTCCAATAGTGGACGGCGCCCACCACAGGAGAAGCTAGCGGAAGGGTTCTGTGAGGATAACAGTCACGTTCAACCACCATATTCATAATCTGAAAAGTCATACTTTTGATTCTTATCTACCCCTTTTTTCATCTCCCCCAGACTTTAGGATTTCTTACTTCGATGTCCTTAAACAGGTTTTTAGCTCCTAATGTACGGTTACTGGATGTCATAAACACGTTTCATTCCATAAACAAGTTTTTATCTTACTCTCAGCACAATATCTTGTGACTTTGTTCCTTTGACCTAGAGAAAGTGACACATCAGTCACCTGGCATTTGGGCAACAATGCTTTATTGTACAAATTACCCAATACACAAAGGGACCAAGGCCAAAACATTTCATAGGCATTACACGGGGTTTGGTGTTATCCTGGCATTTCAGGGCCTCCAAAATTGTGGTAAGTAGTGAGGAAGTTACGCACCTTCAGGCTTTCAAAGTGGTCATTGGATTTCAGGCTCCTGTATTTAGCTAGGCTTCAAAAAGTCTCACACATGTGGTATCCCAATACTCGGTAGAAGTAGCAGAATGTATTTTGGGGTGTAATTCCACTTATACCCATGGCTTGTGTAAGAAATATATAATTTAAATAACAACTTTGTGTATAAAAAAAAAAGAAATTTGTGGGAAAAAATAAATCTTCCATGAACTCAATATGCCTCTCAGATAGCTTAGGGTGTCTACGGTCCGAAAAGGGGTCATTGGGGGTGTTTGTACTATCCTGGTATTTAGCACCTCAAGAAATGTGATGGGCAGTCAGAAAGTAAAAGCTGTGTAAATTCCATTATCTATACCATAGTTTGTAGATGCTATAACTTTCACACAAAGCCATCAATATACACTTATTGGGATTTTGTTTACGCAAAACATGTAGCGGAATACATTTTGGCTATTTTTTTGGGATATTTTTGGACAAAAATGAGAGAATATCGTTTTTTCAAAACTTTTTTTTTTTTGTTTATAGCGCCAAAAATAAAAAGCGCACAGGTGATCAAATACCACCAAAAGAAAGCTCTATTTGTGTGAAAAATACATAAATTTCATTTATGTACTGTATTGCATGACTGCGCAATTGTCAAACTAGTGCAGCACTGTATAGCAAAAAAATGGCGTAAATTGCAGTATCTATACCATAGTTTGCAGACGCTACAACTTTTTCACACAAAGCAATCAATATACACTTTACCAAAAACATGTAGCAGAATACATTTTGGCCTAAATTTATAACTAACTTTGAGTTTACTATATATTTTTTATAGCCGAAAGTAAAAAATATAGTTTTTCTTCAAAATTTTTGGTTTTTTTTTTTTTGTTTATAGCGTGAACAAAAGCGCACAGGTGATTAAATACCACTGCAAGAAAGCTCCATTTGTGTGAAAAAAAGGACATAACTTTCGTTTGGGTACAGCATTGCATGACCAGTTGAATTAGTGCAGCGCTGAGTAGCAAAAAGAGGCCTGGTCATTAAGGGAGTAAATCCTTTGGAGGGCAAGTGGTTAGTTTCCAAGTGCAATCCATCCATCAGAATGTATATTTCATAAAATCAATGAAAAATAATTTTAAGAAGGATACAATAAAAAAAAAATCATTTGTGAAACTTTATTTTTTATTGATGTATATGGAATTGTGGACACTTTTAGGGTTATATATGAACTTTAGTTATTCTGTGCATTTGTCATTTGCATCATTTTGGGTAAAAATAAGTGTGTGTGTGTGTGTGTGTGTGTGTGTGTGTGTGTGTGTGTATGTATGTATGTATATATATATAACACACACAGGTGAAACTCTATAATTAGAATATCATGCAAAAGTT